GTAAATATTTAAGTTTGAAGTTCATTTCTTCAAAAGTATATTGGGACTATGTATTCCCAAAGAGAGTAAAATGTTTTCACATTTAAATAAGAACGGAAACTGAGATTTCCAAAGAGCCTTCGAGCTAGTTTTCAGAAATGAATAATAGCTTTCTAAATGAAGCAAACATGGAAACTAAGATTTTCAAGATAGCTTTTGAGCTAAGTTTTTGAGCACTAATCTCAAATCACAGAAGAGGTATGTTTTAAAAACATAAGAGCCAGTATATTTTGGAAGTAGTATTGAGCACCGAATTGGGAGAGCGTTCAAAGAACCCACAACCCCCATAGAACCATGTAGCCACCATGGGTAGAAAATGATCATACTTTTTAGATGAATCTTTTTCAAGATAGACTAGTGGATCCATTAGGCAGTTCAGGTTCTATACATTTGGCCGGGTATAGGACGCTCTGGCAGCGTGAGGTTGATCATTGTATCTTCACTATAGCTTTTATGTGATGGTTATCAATTAGAGAAACTCCCACAACAGTTATTGTATTTTCATATACATCAGTTCATTTGTATTTCTACATACATCTCAGAGTTATTATATCTTAGCATACACACATAGTTTATAGCATGTTTTAAACATCTTTTCTTTATATTGTGCTTGTTTTGAATTGTTTTATATTGAAATAAGTCAGTCAGGTGGAGTTGAGTTGAGCCAGGTAAGTTATTCAGTCCTTTCAGATTCTTTCTAGCCTATGTTTGCTTAGCATTCCAACTTGCATACTCGTATATTCAATGTACTGATACCAGTTGGCCTGCATCTTATTATGATGCATACACAGGTAACCATGATCAACATCCAGCGCCTCGTTGATCCAGTTGAGCAGCTCAGAGTCAGTGGTGAGCATCCTTGCATTCCGGAGGACTCTTTTATTCGCTTTCAATCTTTCATTTATTAGGATGTTTTGGGGTTTGTCCCAACATCCATCTCAGTATTTTAGAGGCTTCATAGACAGTTATATAGTTATTTGTTCAGATGTCTTTCTTTATCTTTCTGATGTTGTTTAAGACTTAAGTGCCATTTTGGCCAACTTAGTATTCTTCAAGTTATTATTTGAGACTGTTTCATTGAGTTAAGTCTTCCGTTGAGTTAAGTAAGTCAAGCCAAGGGTTCGCTTGGGGACAAAAATGGTCTCCGAGTGCCGGCCACGTTCAGGGTGTAGGCTCGGGGCGTGAGAAGAAATTAAATTCTAAAGAGTATTTTTCACTCTCAAGCCAAAAATAGAAGATATTTTGTGAAAAATATTTTCATTCATCAACCAAACATTAAAAAGTATTTTTTACTCACCAATCAAATATGAGAAAATGAGTTAGAAATCCACTTGTTTTCCAAGAAAACATTTTCCATCATACCAAACACACCCTAATTAAATTGAAACAGATGGGCTATATTCAAATGATTTTCAAAAAATAGAGAAAAGAAAGAGAGAATAGCTCTTACCAGTGTCCATAACCCCAACAATGATATCCTCTCCATAATTTGCATTTTTCAGCAATTCTTCTCTAGAATTTACCAGCGGAGTTCCTTCTAGTAAGCTCGCAAAGTCCCATGATCTCGTAGTATGAAGCTTTATTGCATGAGGATCACTGTGAAATACTGATATTACCCCTTCCATCCCTGTTTTTTTTAAAAAATAAAAATAAATTACACTGAGTGATCAGAAACAAATGCGAGTAACCAACACGTTCATATGTATATATGTAGGATGTTCATGAAGTTTGTACCTGATATCATATCGACTTCTTGTGGCGTTAACACCGCAGAGAAGCCATTGATGACGTTCTTATAGCTGTGAACAAGTGATGCTCTAACATCTTCTTTGGAAGTAGTAGTACCCTTGACAGAATGAAGAAATGAACAGTGATGATCTTCTATTTCTTTCAAAGTCTTGTCTCCATTATGCTCTCCAAGGTACACTATATATACCTTTGTTTCTTCACTACATGAAACAAAGCTACCAAGCCTCATAATTAGGAAGAGAGAAAAGAAAAATACAATTATGTGATGGTTCTTCTTCATTTTGGATGGCTTGTATGTTTTGATTTGTCTGGTATGAGTTGATTTCTACTTAAGGGGTTTTATAGTGATATGATAGTAATATAATAAATACTAAATGTGATTAAGTAATGATCTTACAAGTTTTAATAATTTATATATAAGTCGACTAGAATGGAAAGAGTCTATAATAGTAGCTAATTATATATAAGAAATGGACTGTGACTATTTCTTGTCAAGCTTAAACTTGGTTATATTTATCTGTCTAGTAACGCTGGATGAAATAGTAAGGCAAATAGTGACTCAGTTGTAACTTTTAAATAGGAAAATGAGGGAAAAGCTCAGGTCAATTTTATTTGATCCAATCAAAATGTATACACACAACTCTATTAGGTATATGCATTCAAACTTTATGATAAAAAAAAAAGTGAAGCGTAACAAATAATAGCGTTATATTCTAAGCATACGATTTGCCAATATTTTAACTTCAAATCTCAAAGATTCTTCAAGAATTTCAAACCTTATTACATACCCTCGATGCTAGTCAAGAAACTTCTATTAATTTAGCTTTTTATGGTTTTATTCATGACATTGGTAATATACTTCTGTTTAATATTTCTATTTAATTAACTGATAAATATTCTGTTAAATATGTGGACATTGGACTAAAAATATTATCTTTTACGATGAAGGATTGTGAAAGTAATAGTATATCTTAAGGACCAAAATGAACATATACCTACACTTAAAAGGGCTATTTTGATCCTTTCCTGTTCTAATTAAGAGTAAGTCAATTGTACGAGTAATGCATAGCCAAAAATCACTAATTAATTCTCCTCTTGCAAAACAAAAATATTAGTACTACAACTATCAATTAAGAAAATAACAAACATTAGCGTGTTCATGCGAAGACCAAAAATATAGTCAAACCACGTTCACCGCATAATATTATGTATAAAATAAATTTTAAAAATTATATATATAATGTCGGGTTGGTTTGGTCTCAGGTTGACTTATTTTAGTTAAAACCAAACCAAGCCAAGTGTGGTCGCAGAGTCGGAGCTATGTGGGGGTTCGTGGGTTCGGACGAACCCAGTAGGTTTTCCGTAGACCCTATATTTGTACAAGAAAATTAATTAAATATATATATATTATATATATATATATATATATATATATATATATATATATATATATATATTAGTACGTGAACTCCTAACAAAATTGATTTACAGTTCTAAATAAATTTAGAACATCCAAACTCTTTATCCTGGCTTCGCCTTTGTGTGGTCAGATTTTTTTTCCCAATACCAAATCAAGTCAAACCAAACCATCAGTCGGATTTTTTTTTCCGATTTAACTTAGTTTACGATTTAATTCAATTTTTAGTTTGATTTTGTACCCCTAATTACTACAACTATATATCAATTAAGAAAATAACATGAATGTCAATTTCAGTTGGTCGTCTAAGTTGATATATGATAGTGGCGGCTCCACGTGAGATTAATAGTCAAACCACGTTACATCTTATTACTAACCAAAAGATAATGTTTCATTTTCATGTTATTAATAACACAAAAATGAAACATCGTAAGGTCCTTAATTCATTAAAAAAGGTTTTCATATATATGTGTGACTTTGTCAAACATCATATAGGTTAATTAAAAGTTTTTATTGTCACTTGACGAGAAAAAGCTAACGAAATTTCAAACATGTCACCTCACCCCATAAACACAAATATCATATAATTATTTGATTTAAATTTCGTAGCAATTAGAATAGTCATTCTTTAGGCGCATTTTCTGCTAGCTAAGTTGTTTATTATCGTCAAATCTTACGCAGAAGGTCTACATCAACTGATTTTTCAGAAAAAAAATTATTTTTAATGTTTCGAGATATAAATATATGTTTAGATTCACTGATTCAAATGTCTATATGATAGGACAAAATAATTGAATGAGCGAGTAACTATGATAATGAATAAATTATATTAGAATACATCTCGTAAAATAAATGAAAGAATTGAAAGATGGAAAAAGATAGTACTTGAATACATCTAAAGGAAGACTGGTCATTAATTAAGTATTCTACAAATATCAACCATTATGCATCAGCAAGTTATTGGAAACTATATGTTAACGCAGGGTCGGACAATATTATGCGAGAGTTTGATAGGTTAAAATATTTTAATTAAGAAAATTTTAAAAGCGTGTCAATTATTTAGTCCATCATTACAATTTACATGCAGTAATTAACGCGTTATATAAACCTTATAAATTAAGATATTATGCACCTAAGAATGTGGCTTAGTAGTAAATGAAGTGGGTTGAGCATCATGAGGTCCCGTGTTTTCTTCTCCTTTGTCTATCCTTGATGCACAAAGTTATCTGTACACTATAATTATTTTTAAAAAAAGAAAAAGATAATGTAACGACCACTTATATATAATATAATTACATTCACCATGTCGTTGGACAAATCAAAACAGAGAGAAAATTTATCCATAAATTAATCAAATTAAAGTCCTAACTATCGATCGTATTTTTCAAAGAATCAAATTGTTTTTTTGACGTATATAGAAGAGAAAATTACCTTTTGAATTAAGAGTAAAATTGTTTTTTCATTCCTTAAAACATATCTTAATGTGTAAATAAAAAATGAAAAGATCTTTTAAAACAAAAATGCATGATATATTTTTTTCAAAAAAAAAAAAAAGACCAAGAAAAATAAGAACCAGTGGGCTGCAAGGATTGGGCAATATATTACAGCTTATAAGCCCAATTCCTTGGAACAATGGCAGCCCAAATAATTCAAATTCGGATCTCAAACTCCGAATCATTCCGACCCGCTAATTTGAAGGGACGATAGAGCTTCTTCTCCGGTCTAATCTATCGAACCACCACAACTCTACGCCGGCCGCCACTTCCTTCACCCAGTTTATTTCTCCGGTGGACTCATTTCGAGCAGTTTCTACTGAGAAATGGAACTGTGCGTTCCCGCGGTTTTCTCTAATCCCTTTTATTGATGAAGCTAATCACTGAATGATGCTGATTTTATCTTCCCACTTACTTTATTTATGCAGCACAGAACTCTGTTTTTTTCCTTACAATTGTTATATATATCTCATTGTTATCACATTGAAATGATAAACTGAATCAAGTATATGAGCTTAATGGCGGTTTGAGTACTATAATTATCAGCTTTTTTGTCATTAAGTTGAGGTGATTACATTTATCTAGCCTCTTAATTGTTATAGCCACAGTTGTGAACCAAAAAGTAACAACAACATACCTCTTGTAATCTCCTTGGGGAAGGTAGAGTGTAGCGAACTGTGAACCAAAAAGTAAAATTAAAAATTGAGGAAAGAAAAGGATTGCAACCATAGATGAGCTCTTAAGAATTTATGGTTGGTTGGTATTATCTATAATTTTTCTTCTCAACTTTTAGCTTATATGAAAGACAAAAGCTAAAATTTGAAGACCCAACAGATGATAACTTTCTGCTCCATAGATTCAGTTTTCAGTTTTTCCTTTCTCTTTGTTTTTTTTTTAAATGACAAAGATATCGGGTTGATGCAGCTTCGAAACTTGGGATAATAGGCCCGTCCTTCAACCCTTATCTGCTTAAATACAAGGTTTGGCTCCACAACCAAGTTTATTCAGCTTTCCCTCATTATCTATCATTCTTGCAGAAACTGGTAATACAAATTGGTATTTTTTTTTTCTACACATAAGTCAGTTAATGCTAATAGTTTTGAGTTACAAATTTTCTAATTTGCCTCTTTAAGAACCATTCTTGCTTATGAGAGTCCCCTGATGTGTATATTTGGGAAGAATTTATTTTTAGAACTGCTGTGCTAGAATGGGAGGTTCTCTACAATTTCACTTCTTCAGTTGCAACATTTTGTTAAAGGTAATAAACATAACCGGGTCATCAGATAAGGTTGGAGTGAGATGCTCCTTGTTGACTATTTTTTATACAGATTATTGCTCAGTGTCTAAGGTTCTACTATCATATGCAGTTAAATGTAACCTCTGCTCTTAAACATTCCAAGAAGCAGGGTGAACTTTCTCTTACTATCTCCGCTGCTGCTGATCAGAAGTAAGTAATGCTACCCATTAACACATTTGTTTGATAACAGATACTCATTTTCTTGAAGTAACTGATTATATTCAATGGAGTATTATGTCAAGCTGAATTCCATGTTAAATGTTCTTTTTATCTTCTCTAAACTAATTATTCTCGGTGTGGATGCAGGAAAGTTCAGAAGGCTGGAAAAGTAGAACATCACCTATGGAAGAAAAGAGAATCTGCTGGATCTGGACAAAAAGCGCTGAATCTTATTCGGATTGTAAGTTTTTTCAAATTATTCTGGCTAATCACTATAGTTTGCACACTGAAAGGTATGTTTTCTCGTATACCTGAAGTAGACGTATTTTGACGTTGCCTTCTGTTTCTTTGTGATATGTAAATGGACAGATTTTTGGACTTCCAAATGAGAAAAAGCCTGTTTATGGTGCATTAGATAAATGGATTGCATGGGAGACAAGAGTTTCCATTGATTGCAGCTGCTAAGGCTCTAAGAATCTTAAGGCAACAGCGGCTGTGGAAACGAGTGATTCAAGTACGATGCTTGGGAACTTCATTTTGTTATTTTTAGCATGGGTGGTATATTTGATAGCATCTTGCCTTGATAAATTCTGAAGCAATGCAGTGATAAATATCATTTGTCAACAAGCTATGACATTAGAAGCCTTGTCTTAACTTCATAAGTATCATACTCAACTACTCAAATTGACCAAGTGCAAGATGGCTCTGCTTCAGGTTCTTTTGTTTTTCCATTGCAAGACAAAAAAACTCTGATGCGGTTGCACTTTTAATATTCGCAGTTGTGTGGATTATCTCTTGTCATTACTCAATCAACGTCAATTCATCCATCCCCCTTGATGTAATTGTAGTTCATAATTAATTCGACAAGTATCATTTGAATGTATTGACTACTGGCTACATGGAAGTAGAAACTTAACTTGGTGATATTGAGATTTAGTTCTACTCCTCTGTATTATCGGGGCATGTTTAAATCGGCTTGGTAGGAAAGAGAGGTTCGTGTAATTGAGTATATGTGAATCTTAATTGTTAGACAGATCATGGTGACTAGTTTGATTATGTACTGAAGTATTTCAGAATAGCCATTTGTCACTAAATAATACTTGCTCTTTAACACTCTATGCTTAGGTTGCTAAGTGGATGTTGAGCAAAGGTCAAGGTGCAACAACGGCAACCTATGATGCACTTCTACTAGCATTTGATATGGACAATAGGGTAGATGAAGCAGAAACGTTATGGAATATGATTTTGCATACAAGCACACGGTCTGTTTCGAAACGGCTCTTCTCCAGGATGATTTCATTGTATGATCATCATCATGTGCCAGACAAGATAGTTGAGGTAAATGATTATTTTTGCATATTTCCTAATTGGTCCAAGTATAACTGGTTGTTCAGTTCCCTCTCTGCAGAACAGCATGATGCTGTGGATTATCCTCACTTCTATCTTTCGTAATGGATTTCCTCTACTGTTGAAAGTTTGATTCTATTTTTTGAAGCATGCTTCTTGAAAATTCAGGTGTTTGCAGACATGGAGGAGTTAGGGGTAAAACCAGATGAAGATACAGTTAGAAGAGTTGCAAGAGCCTTCCAGATGTTGGGCCAAGAAGATAAGCAAAAACTGGTTCTCAAAAAGTATCAAAGCAGATGGAAATATGTCCATTTCAACGGTGAAAGAGCAAGAGTGAGAAGAGATATGGAGTGAATAAAAGTGATATTCCTTGCATCGGTGGGAAAGACTAGTATGTAGTTGGTTGATATTACACATACTGGAAAATACATGTCATAAAATCCAAGTTGCTGTAGCTGTGTTGATATATCCCTGGTGAGATTGTGTCTTGAATACGAAGACTCTACTTGGCTGATGATACAAGACATAACTAGAAGTCCACAACATTGATGAAAGTCTGTCACGCCCCAAACTCAAGGGGCGCAACTGACTCCTAAAGCCAAAACTCAGGCCTGAGCCGACCCTGCTGAACCATTTGCTACTAGCGCATGGCAGTCACATGCAATTAAGAAAACAAACAAGTATATCTCGGCTTAAAACTAAGCCCTCGGCCGGCAAGGCCCCTGTCAACAGATCTACAAAAAAAAAACCAGCTACTCCCAAGAGTTTATATAAAGAAATATCCAACTAGCACAGAAGTCCTGATTGGGCCGTTGAGGCCACCATGATATCTATACCAAAACTAAAAACAGGTAAATATCAGTACAATACATCAAACAGCTCACAAGCTTCAGCAAATCAACAACATAGGCCAGCATGGCCATAACGTAGCTAAAAACCCCACACACTAGTCTGCAAGCCTCTAAGAGTAGTAAAGATTGGTGGGACAGGGCCCCAGCCTACCCATGAGAATATATACAACAAAAGGTAACAAACCTCCCAACTCTGACAGCTCCGGAGGAAAGGGGCTGACCAATCGGATAAAAGTCAATTCTGCTGATATGGAGGTCTACTCGGTCATCTGTCAGGACCTGCATGCATGAATGCAGCGCCCCCAAGGCAATGGGGCGTCAGTACAAAATAATGTACAGAGTATGAAAGGCAATAGACTATGATGAGGTATCCTGATATACCGGAATAATCTGATAAATAAATTAAGGATAAGATAATTGTACTGACCTGCTTCTAAATCTAAATTTATCAAAAATAATAAAACAACAACCTAACCAAGCCCCCATAAGCTCGGTAGGTACAAACAGCACACAAGACCACCTACTCAGGCCCCCATAAGCCTGGAAGGTGCCAATCAACCTGTATACCCCTATCGGTAGTCCCCTAGCCCCGCAGGCAGTCACATAGCCCTCTTAGGCATCAACATATCTTATAGACAACTCATAGCCCTCTTAGGCAACAACATGGCCCTGTAGGAAGCACATAACCTTCTTAGGCGTCAATAGATATCCATGTAGGCAACTCCTAGCCCTTCTAGGCATCAATATAGCCCCGTAGGCAACTCATAGCCCTTCTAGGCATCAATATAGCCCCGTAGGCAACTCATAGCCCTTTTAGGCATCCATATAGCCCTGTAGGCAGAACATAACCCTGCTAGGCATAGATCACATTCCTGCAGCTAACAACAATAGCCCAAAGGCAACAATAACAATCCAACAGCTAAAAGTGAGCAATTTAGTTATAGACAACCTATACAAATAGCCTCTAAGTCGTGTCCAACATACGAATGTTACTACTGAATAAGAATCTCGATAAGAGAGGATTATACGCACTCGAGCAGCCAACAATCAACAATTATAGCTATAAGTATAACAACGATAACAACTCAATAACATTGCTCCTGAGCTTTAAGGAAACATGCCATAGGAAGAGAATAGCCTTAACATACCTTTTTCGTTAAATTCACGTGGCCTAAAGACTTTAACTCATAACTCCCTCGATACTACAACAAGATAGGACCATAATCAACACATAAAATAAAAGATACCATGACAATACAATAAAAGATATGTATTTCCGTCGCAAATTGCTATTTGCTGCTTATAAAAGCTAGAGTCGATGAAAGAAGGGTCTTACCTCGATCTTAGGTTCGTAATTCACCTCAAAACCTTCAAATATATTCAAACCCCTGCTGTCCCAACTCTAAAATGTGATATGCTACGCAATCGATAAAACAAATTATACCACGATGATGAGCCCAACGCGTAGAACAACTTTCGTCAAGGACTTACGTCGAGAAAATCTATATTTCACTTGATCCTAAAAATGGGTTTCTATGTTTTCTCTGTATATTTAGCTTAAAAATGAAGAAAAACTCGAAGAAGAAGATATATACACTTTCCACCGACCTAGGGCCCCACCTCACGTGCCTGCTTGCGCAGTCCCACGAAAATGCGAATATCTCTCTACTATGAAGTCGTATGAATGAACGATTTGATGCGTTGGAAACTAGACTCGTAGACCTTCGATTCAATAGTTTGTGGGCCCCATAACTCTTTATAGATTGGGAGAAAACCTCCAAGACATTTGACCCAAATTTCAGAGAAATCTTTAAGAAGGAAATTACAATAACTTCCGCCAACTTTTATTTTGCCACTTACCTAACTTGAGATGCAACACTTGAACACTTAAAATAGGACATACCACATCATTCTTAATTTATTACTCACCCTCCTTGTCTTTCCACGAATATACGAGTTAATTTAGACGTTTTGAAAAGTCGGGGTGTTACATTCCTCCCCCCTTAGAAACATTCGTCCTCGAATGAAAAATCTGAGGCACACTATTCAGTCCTTAGGACTTGCCAGAATTTAGGCAGTTTATCCTTTGTAAATGTCACTATCTAGGAACCTGAAATGCAAAATTTCTAACATAGGCGTCTCACATGACCACATAAATAGCTAAGCGTTATAGCTACACCACAACAGTGCGAGCAGACATACAACGACAATCACAATAATAATAAGCAATAGTATATATATATATATTTATATAGGTATCTTACCTTACTGCCCTAATATAAACTGATATAACATCACCCTGGGGTATGAAACAAGTGAGGATATTTGGATCTCATGCCATCCTCAGCCTCCCAGGTCACTTCTTCTCTATTTTTATTCCTCCATAATACTTTAACCGAAGCCACCTATTTGGTCCTCAATTTACGGACCTGCCGGTCTAATATAGCAACTGGAGTCTCCTCGTAGGACAACTCTTCTGTGATCTGAACATCCTCAATTGGGACAACCCGAGAAGGGTCTCCTACACACTTCCGTAACATTGATACATGGAAAACTGGATGAACAGATTTTAGCCCTGAAGGCAATTCTAACTCATAAGCCACACGTCCTACCCTCCGAAGAATCTGGTATGGCCCAATGAATCTTGGACTAAGCTTTCCCTTTTTGCCAAATCGCATAACACCCTTCATAGGTGAGACTTTTAAGAATACCCAATCATCGACACAAAACTCTAAGTCCCTTCGTCGTACATTTGAGTATGATTTTTGTCGGCTTTGAGCTGTTAGCAACCTCTCCCGAATGAGCTTAACTTTCTCCACTGTCTGCTGGACTAAATCGGGTCCAATCAACCCTGACTCACCTACCTCAAACCATCCAATGGGGGATCTACATTTTCTCCCATACAAAGCCTCATAAGGTGCCATCCCGATGCTAGAATGATAACTATTATTGTATGCAAATTCAATAAGAGGCAAGTGGTCATCCCAACTTCCCTTGAAGTCTAGCGCGCATGCCCGTAACATATCTTCGAGTGTCAAAATTGTTCGCTCAGCCTGGCCATCTGTCTGAGGGTGAAAGGCGGTACTAAGATTAACTTATGTCCCTAATCCTTTCTGGAAGGACTTCCAGAAATTGGCGGTAAATTGTGCTCCTCTATCAGAGATAATAGATACTGGGACACCGTGTAGCCTAACAATCTCTCTAATATAGAGCCCTGCATAGTTTTCAGCCGAAAAAGTAGCCTTGACTGGTAAGAAATGGGTTGATTTTGTTAGTCTATCACAATTACCCAAATAGAGTCAAACTTGCGATGAGATCGAGGTAGTCCTGTAATAAAATCCATATTAATTGCTTCCCACTTCCACAAAGGAATGACTATCTCCTGAACTAGGCCAGCGGGCTTTTGGTGCTCAACCTTCACCTGTTGGCAGTTAGGACACTGCGCCACAAACTCAGCAACGTCCTTCTTCATCCCCTGCCACCAATAGATCTCCTTAATATCATGGTACATCTTCGTCGAACCAGGGTGAATAGCATAACGGGAATGATGTGCCTCTTCCATAATTCGATGTCGAAGCCCTGCAACATTCGGAACACACAATCGACCGCTATATCTGAGGACTCCATCTTCTGCTATATCAAATGCTAAAGACTGTTGATCCTGAGCCTTAGCTCTAAGCTGCTCTAAGCTAGGATCCTCTTGTTGTCGTGATTTTACTTCTACAACTAGAGATGATACGGTTGTATCCTGAATTGTGACCCCACTATCGTCTGCCTCTAACAATTTGACTCCCAAACTAGCCAACTGATGAAGCTCTCGCACTAGCTCCCGCTTCTCAACACCTAAATGGGATAAACTACCCATAGATCTTCGACTGAGGGCATCGGCTACTACATTTGCCTTTCCTGGATGATATAAAATATCCACGTCGTAGTCTTTCAGTAACTCAAGCCATCGACGTTGTCGCAGATTTAACTCCTTCTGTCTAAATATATATTGAAGGCTTTTATGATCTGTGAAGATGTCAACATGAACACCATATAAATAGTGTCTCCAGATTTTTAATGCATGCACAACTGCAGCTAACTCTAAATCATGGGTCGGATAGTTCTTCTCATGTTTCCTCAACTGTCTTGAAGCATATGCGATAACCTTACCATGTTGCATTAGAACACATCCCAACCCAACCCCAGAAGCATCACAGTACACCGCATAGCCTTCTGAACCCTCTGGCAATGCTAGAACTGGTGCTGATGTCAACCTATCCTTTAGCTCCTGGAAACTATGCTCACAAGCCTCAGTCCACTGGAACTTAGCTGTTTTTTGAGTCAGCTTCGTTAATGGTGCTGAAAGTGAAGAAAACCCCTCTACAAACCTTCTGTAGTACCCAGCTAACCCCAAGAAACTACGAACCTCAGTTGGAGTCATAGGTCTGGGCAAAGTTTTTACGGCCTCAATCTTTTGTGTATCAACCGCAATACCTGCATCTGATACAATATGGCCTAAGAAAGCGACAGAGTTCAACCA